TTAAAAAATTTAATTTTTTATATATATTTGAAAATACACGTTACGTTGTATTTTCCTCTATTTCTTTCTTTGAAATTTCCTCACTGGTCATGAGGTCAATGTATCTGCCATTTTGTTCGTAAGAATGCAACTTCATATTTTCACAGCCGAAGTGAAATTTTTAAATATCGGAATCTATCACTATTATATTATTATTCCTATCATCAATAGATCGTTTGTATTACTTTAAATTTAAAAGAAATTTCAAATGTTGCAGCAGGAAATTCACTTTCGAATTTTCGTGTATTTTTAGATGTTACGCGATTAAATTCCTCCATAAAAGAAAAAATAACGATCATTGTTCTCTCGCCGCGTCGATCGTCACCATGTTTCTCGCAAAACGAGAAATAGAAGAAGTGCAGAGTGTAAGAATGGCACAGACTTTGGAGAGAGAAAGAACGAATGGATATGGAGCAACTCGTTTAGTTTTTCGCCGAAGATGATTACATAACGCAGTTGCGCGACAAACATGCGAAATGGACGAGATCCCGATTGCTTCGTGTCAGAGATCAGCGATAGAGAAACCACGTTGTGCTTTCGATGTATTGTCAGGAAGAAAAGATCGCGACTCGGAGGACAAGAATCGAATCTCGATCCAAATTGCGCAACATCTCTATTTTGGTTTTCTTATGGCTATAATTTGGCAGTGTTCCCAATCGGGAATATCTTTTAGGCATTTTGTACTGCGTCCACTTCATAAATCGTCGAACCGCCATGCCGATTTCTGCGCGTATAAATTTTCTTTGCGTAGATATATCTTCTGTTATCTTGATGCATATAAATCAATAACTATGCATAATCACCTCAAATATCTCTGTTGTCCTTTCTATGAAAGCACATTGTTAACGTAATGATCTTATTCAATACAGAGGAAGCTAAAATATAACAATGATTCTTCAAAACTATTTTTCGATTAATCAATGCAATCACTCTCTATAAAAAGTTGTCAACTTACGTATATTGGAAAACTATTAGTTTAAGAGATACTATTCTATACGATAACGTTAATTCTTCGAATCTATTATCTACTAAAAAATCATTACTAGCATATTACGATCTTCTCTATACTGAATAACTTTCATTAATAAAAATTTTTCTCGTTAATCTCCGAAAACGAAAGACATATTTGAAGTCGTACTGATCGTTCACTCTCTATATTTTAATATTTTTAATTTTAAGCCTTTATCATTCGCCGATTTTCGATCGTTTGTAATCTGTATGAAAGAATCCGGTTTACTGAACCGATTTTTTTGCTCTCATTTGAATAAATATTGCGATACCACGAACATGGTCACGCCCAGTTTCGAAAAAATGGCAAAAAAGAATGGTTTTAATGTTGGGTTAGGTAGATTTCGATATTAATAAGCCATTTTAGACAGGTATTATTTAAATAAAATATTTGAAAAATAATTATTTAAGAGTAATACGTCATGTTGTTTAACTCGATATTATCTTGAAATAATCTTACGTTAGTTTATTTGAACAAGCAAATCATTTTTCTAAAATTATTTCATTATTTCGTTGTCAAATAAAGTAATTTTTTTATTTGTTTCTATAAACAATTCTGAAACAGTTTCTTCTCTAATATTATTCTGATTCTAATTGTATTATCAGCATTCTGTACTGAAATTGTTCGTGATTTTTGCACTGTGAATATTTCTGCATTTTTGGGAAATTTAAAACTTCAAGAAAATGTACAAAAAGGAGCACTTATCGTGATATTTAATAGAATGAAACAAATTTCTATTTAGATTCGATTTCCTTAATTTTGTCCATAAAAATATAAAATTGCCTAAACATTTGCAGTCATTTTATTTTGACGAATCAACTCATTATTTGCAAATGATTCATTTGATTTGGACATGCGATAAAATTACTCTTCCTCTTGTGTTATATTTCCAGAACAGAAATAATAAATTAGCAAAAGTGATTGCTTCAAATTGTCATTTTTTAATCTTCATTTTCATTCAAGCAGAATTAGCACAACCTTGATTTTACATAGGGCAGTTCTAAATATACACGTTATTTAATGTATCTTTTAAATTTGTACGCTTGTGAATTACGCGTATATGCTGCTGCAATTTGCGCATAGAAACGCGTCATCAGTCCAAATATTTTCATATTTCATTATTGCCTTAGTCTAAGATAACAGAATAGAATAGATGTTAAGTACATTATACGAAGATGGAACGATCTTAGGATAGAGAAGGCATTACTCCTTTGACAATTTCGTCAATCCTTTCGTCTTTCCCTCTCGCTCGTAGAAAAATAAAATTATTAATTATCGATGTTCCTATAACTTAAAATAAACAAATAAGTGAGTCTTTCTGACAACAGCCTTTCGTTTCAATCGCGTTCAACAAGTGAGCGGGTTCGTGTGTCGAACGATTTTAAAATTTTATGCATAAAATCGATTCGTTTCTGATGGTTTTCAGTCCACCGACGTTTAAAACTGCGACGCCCACATCGCGCACGCAACTGAAACTCCAGCTGATGCGAGAGCAGCTGCAGGAGCAGGAGAGACGAGAGGCTGAATTCCGTCAGAATTTGCAACAACAGAGACCAACCGCTGCACCTCCTAGGCCTGTACCCACTGCTCCACTCTCCTCTATCGGGGTAGATGTGCCACCACAAGTTTTACAGGTACTATGAAATTTTTACATGTATTCCTCCTTATCATTCTCGTATCATCGCATCGTTGCCGACTCTTGAAAATTTCATTATTAATCCTCACCTTCTTACTCTGTCGTCATTCTCTTGTCGTCTTCAGTCCCAATACACTTTGGATTTCGAAATTCCTCAGCTACGTTTGTCGATAGAAAAACTTGTACATTTTATTCTTACGAATCAAATTAGAATATTACACTGAATTGCAGATATTGCAGCAAACGCAGAGAAAGGTATCGCCCACCATGTAATTTGCTTTATTGTTAACTACGTATGAGATGCAATGCCTTTATACGATATATATTGTCTCATGAATGCGATACTCTTTTTTCTTTTGTACTATATATATGTATGTGTGTGTGTGTGTGTGTTTGAATGAGGTAATGCAATGTATGCGCAAACACGTGTTTCAGAAAAACAAATTATTCAAGCTGTTAATAGTTTTAAAGTGTAGCACTGTACTAAAATCGAAAGAGAAAGAAACATAAAGTACCATGTACCATCACATAGAAATATATACCATCCTTTCAACCTTGTTGCATATTTTCACCTCACCTTGCAACAATCATCAAAATCGTTGATCATTTATTCAAGTTGAAAAAAGGCACGAAACAATGATTGGAGAAAGGAAGAGAAAATCAATCGATCAAACCAGTGGTTTCACACTTTTTGCTCACAGGTACGGACACCATTGGAAAATCCGACGCGCTATCATGTTGTTCAGAAGCAAAAGAACCAAGTGCGACAATATCTTCACGAATCGTTTCGTGGCAATGGTACCACCGGTGACGAAAGCGTTCTCGCAAGGAATCCAGTCGAAGCCGTGACAACGTCCGCACCGATGGTTGTCCAGAGTGCACCACCGGGACCAACGGTACACCATCCAAAGCCACAGCATCCTCATCTAGCCTCGTACCCGCATGGTCCAACGGTGTTATCGCACGGTAATCCGATTGCCAACAGTCCAGATCCTACAACTGGTGCAATGTCACCAGGACTTTCCAGTGTCGCAACCAGCAATTCCGAGGTAATTCATTTAAGTATCTGTTGCCTGTCAATGTACTTTATTCATCAAATTCCTCGTAACATGTGATATTCTATTCGAGCAATTGGAATAGAGTTATTCGAGTCAATTAAGCCCTTGAAGTTCAATTTTGAATTTTGAAGAGAATACTTTCGACTTTCCATGTTAATATTATAAGATATATACTATTGAACTTTGACCCTTAAATACCATAAATGAAATTTCGCTCTTTGTGATTTTTGTTTTAATTTTTATTATCGTTCTGCAATAAGCTGATGATGTAAGGAAAACAGTGATATCATGATGATGGTATATAATAATGAGGTTGAGAAAGAAAAATCAGAAAAAAAAAAAAAAAGGAATAACTCGAATAATATCTCTTATGATGCACTGATATTAATAAAATAAACAACAAAATAACTCATAATAGAAAAATGATATACACATGCTATTCTATTATAAAATACTGGCAATTACAATTAAGAATATTAACATTAGTCGGACAAATTTCTCATCTGTTGTTATTATATTTTCGTGGGGAAAACCATAGCTATCGAATTGAAGGGTTTTTTGATGAAAACGATGCTTATCTTCCGAGAAAACAGATGAAGAATCATTGCATCTTTCAGTATTCATTCGATGCATTTCATTCTTTTTTTAAACGAAACATCCATCATATTACATAAGAGGAGTTCATCATATTAGATAAGAGCAGCTAAGTTTGTATGTGATTAAACAGAAAATGTGTACCTAATTAAATTATGAATAATTCTGAATAATTGGTTTTATAGAAATGATTAATAGACACATAGACAGATTATTTCTTATAATATCCGTTCCATCATATTACTTGCAACTTTTTTATAATTCAGGATTTAATTTACGACTACTAGTTCACAACTATCGGAACGCGTTATTATCTAATAGTGCGTTTATACCAAACGAGTGAATATACTTTCATTTATTTATTCTGACAAATTCGCGCTCATAAAGATTGGAAACGCGCCATAAAATATCGAACGTTTTATCAACGTGTTAAAATTTGTCAAAAGCTGTTCAATTTAACTCAAATAATTCTATCTTATCGTAGAATTTCCAGCTCGTACAAAGTTAGCGAAAAATAATGATAATCACAATAATCTGTCAATGTCATAAAAATCTATTGCTGTATATTCCTTATGTAGTTCTCGGATTATGTGCATGTGTGTACAGCTATATGATTATGCATCTTTATAGAGAATAATTATAGCGGAATTTTAAAGTAACAGAGTTATACTTTCAGAGAACTACAGAGTTATACTATACTTTCAGAGTTATACTACAGAGAAAATACTTTCATCTCTTTTGGTTCCCTTGTTTAGCCAACGATTAAGCAGATCGAAATCGTAGTTACATTCATACTTGACAACTTGAAGGCCGAGCCGATCGGCCGATCGATTGATCGCTCGTTCGCTTTCTTTTCCTTTGCAATTCATCTGGCATTGAAAGTCGTACAAAAACTTTTTTTTTTTTTGAATAATTGCTCGACGATGATATATATTATATCTCCGTAAGAAGAACAGTTTCATTTGCATATAATCCTTCTTTACGCATAAATACATAAACGCCATCATACATTTCATCTCGTCAATTTTCTTTTCGTTGACAAGAACTCCATTATTTAAAAGTGAATAACAAGAAGGAAAACTAAATCGATTTCTGTCGATGAAAGAAACATCAGATTATAACATTTAATTGAAAAATGAGAATAATCTGTTTGATCCAAATAGAAATGATAATATATAATAATTATTATAATATAGTAATTATAAAATAATAGTAGTATATTCAGAATAGCAGAATATTTAATTTAAAGTAAAAATATAATTTGGATGATATAAAATTCAAGATTGCTTGACGTGTCAAAAACGATCTTTTATATTATAGTTTCAAAAATTATTCTATTTTGGTAATTTCTATTTCATAAAAAAAAA